AGGCGGTGCATATGGGTGCTATTCCTTCCTCTACCCGTTCTGCGCCTCATACATTTTGCTCGCGCGCAAGTGTTGTCTGCGCGGGATCCCGTAAAATGTTGGTCCCACTATCATGCATGAGAAGCTGTGCATTATTATATGGATACGAGCTGGCATCCCGGGTTCCACTTCACCGCTTATCCTTCATGACTATGGGAAATGTACACAGACACACAAAGTTTCTGCTTTATACAGGGTGTCCTAAAATAAGTACACATTTTTTGATCGTTAATAACTTTCTTTCAACTAAGTCTTTTCCTTGGCTTCAAGCACCATCCGTAGAGGAGGCTTCAACTTAGATTCTCAGTATGGAGCCAGCCACCTCCCTTCATTACTGTAGGATTACGGTAGGAATTCCGGCATACAGCGACATTGTGAAAAAGCTCATTTGAACAAAAAACTCCAAAAAATCTGGAAAGTTGTGTAGTAGTGTTTTCAAACATGCTGACTTCATCAAACAACTCTTTTTGGGTATTTGGTGAGTTTCAAATGGTCTAATCACATTTTTGGAAAATAATGAAAAAACTTTGTTGCGACTTATTTGGCATAACCTACGTAAAAAGCCTTACAGTAAAGTGCGAATTTCGTATTAGTAATCAGCAACTCAATTTAGCTTAATGATAAAGTTTTCAGCTCGTTAAGTATCTGTTTTGGGCAATTTGCGGCCACCAATGGCTGAAAGTTCCTACCGTAATCCTACAGTAATGAAGAGAGTTGGATGATTCGCTTCATACTGTAAACTTAAGTTGAAGCCTACTCTATTAAATGGTATTTAAACCTAGGGAAAAGACTTAGTGAGAAGCGAGATATTAACGACTGAAAAGTGTGTACTTACTTTTGGGACACCCTGTATATCTAGAGATATCTCACGGGTTCCTGAGATTTTGTTATTTGATGTTTATAAACGGTAATTTGAGCTGCGCAAAAATCAAAGATTGAGAATCAAGAAATGGTACGGTCTTTTTCTCATCTTCGAGTGGTAATCACACTGTTCGCTATGCTTCTGCACCAGATTTCGAAACACAAGACGTTAAGTGACAGAAGGTCTGCCACATCTTAATGGGTGAATCCATTTTACGGATTACT